CCATCGCCTGGTGGCAGCAGAGGCGGCGGTGAAGCCGGGAAGGGAGGGGGGGGGGGGGGGTCGGGCGGTGCCGGGCGCGGGCTCCGTCTCTCTCGACCCTCCCTCTCCCTCTCTCCCCCGCTCCGCGCCCCTCGCCTGCGCAGTCGCGCCGTTGAGGTCGATCTGGTGGTTGCGGAACGTGACGTCCTTCCAGCCCTTGCCGCCGTTAATCGCGAAGCCGGCGTCCTCGCCCTTGAACTTGTTGTTCTTCATCGCCTCGGCGCCGACAAAGTACGACATCGCGTCCTCCGCCGTCGGGCGGAACGGGTGCTCCGTCGCCTTGGTCGGCTTGAAGAGCACGTCGGTGTGGCCGTAGCCGTACAGCTTGCCCGCCGCCTCGCCCGCCGCCGCGACGAAGTCGCCCTCCTCGGCGTACACCTTGGAGATGGAGGCGATCGAGTCCGCCCAGAGCTTCTGCGCCGCCAGCACCTCCGCCTCCGTCACCGCCGCCGGCGCCGCAACGTACGGCACCGACGAGTGGTGCAGGCAGATGCGCACGTTGCCATCCTCGCACCGCTTGTAGCCGAAGGTGTACTCGACGCGCACCTTGTCGCCCGAGGTCGCGTCGGTGAAGACGTAGTCGCCCATCGCGTGCGCCACCGGGCCGAAGAGCTCGATCTGGTGGTTGCGGAACGTGACGTCCTTCCAGCCGCGGCCGCCGTTAATCGCAAAGCCGGCGTCCTCGCCCTTGAAGGCGTCATTCTTCATCGCCTCGGCGCCGACAAAGTACGACATCGCCTCCTCGCCGGTGGCGCGGAACGGGTGGTCCGTCGCCTTGGTTGGCTTGAACAGCACATTGCCGTGGCCGTAGCCGTACAGCTTGCCAGCCGCCTCGCCCGCCGCCGCGACGAAGTCGCCCTCCTCGGCGTACACCTTGGAGATGGAGGCGATCGAGTCGGCCCAGAGCTTCTGCGCGGCGACGACCTCCGCCTCGGTCACGTCGCCATCGCCAACCTTGGCCGCCGAGGCACCCTTGCGGTCGAGGAGCGTCTTGACAAGGCCGACGGCAGCGCCGCCAACCACCGCACCGCGAACGGTCGGCGGCAGGATCATGACAGGCTGCGCAGAGCGGGCGACCGCCGGGTGGCCCACGACGGCCGTGGAGGCCACGGCGCGGCCGTGCGCCACCGGAAGTGGCGCCACGAGGGCGCTGGTCGCCACGGTGAAGAGCATCATGCTCAGCGTCTCCTTTTGGATCTGTCGACCTCGACAAGGTTCGTTCGATGGTTCCAAAAAAATTGTTTGTCTTGATGACAAGACCAAGGGTCGTGTGGGTGAACCCTGCCCAGCCCCCCTCCGTGTCGCGATGCGCTCCCCGCTCCCCTTCCCCTGTGTCCCTGATCGTCCTTACAAGATCCTGCTCGTGCAGGTGGGGACCCTGAGCCTGTCCTTCTCCCACCCCTGTTTGGCGTGCCCGTTTTATTTATTTATTTACAAGGCACGGGCAGAGGAACGAGAGAAGAATATAGGGTGGATAAAGCGCCTGTTCACGGCATGGAGGGTGAGCCACGCCGAACGTACTGAACGTAGAACCGAGCGGAAGGAAGAGGGGGAAGATGACTCCGAGGTGCGAGGAGGACGAACCAGTGGAAATCCAGTTGTCAGATGTCACGATGCACCCGAAGGGGACCCCAGCGCCGGCATCATCAGTGAAGGCACAAGTGTTCGAAGAGAGAGTGGACCTGAGCAACGACATGACTGGGTGGCAAATGATCGCAGTGGGCTGTGGGCGCGTCAGAAGTAGACTCGTCCTTGCTCGAGGAGAGCTCGATAGACTCGAGGGGCCAGGATATGCAGCGAGGAGGACGGAGCTGCGCCGAAAGGCGCAAGAAGCAGCGAGAACAAGGGACAGGCAGGCGGCGGCGGCGTCGCAGAACGAGGCAGAGGAGAGCGACGCGACAGAAGAAGAAGCGACAAGGGAAAGAACGACGAGGGTGGGACGACCGCGAGGTGGCATGAAGGTTGCAGCGAGAATCGGCGAGAGACTGCGAAGAGAGATCTAGGAAGAGGCGGACGCCCAAGGGTGGGCGACGCACGGCTAGCGCACCACACCCCTCTCCTTAAAATCCCTGTGTGGTGGCGGCGTGCCGTCCTCCCATCCCTCCCTTGGGTTGTCCGTTTTCTTTCTTTCTTTCTTGATGTCGCTGCCATCTGTGATGCCCCTATGTATTGGGACCCTGCCACTTGCTCGTGCAAGACCCCGCCACCGCGCACCGGTACTTCTCGGGGCCGCCGCCTGTTCCAACGCAGTCAGTTCCAACGGCCGCGCCCATGAGCCGGCCATCTCGGCCGGCCCAAGCCGACGAGTAAACCACGGCCGTACTTAACCCACGCGGCTCGCGCGCATCACGAGTGAACTGAAGAGATGGGAGGAGGGATGGCCAGAGGAGGTCAGGAGGTGGCCAGAGGGGATGGCCAGAGGGGATGGCCAGAGGGGTGGATCGGACAGGGCATGCGGAGAAAAAAGAAGCACGGCCCCCCCCTTAAAATCCCTGTGTGGTCAGCGGAGCTGGGAATAGGACCGCGCGTGGCGTGGAGCGGTTGAGCATCCCTCGATCCCTCCGGGGGCCCCTCTGCGCCGGGGAGGCGTTGTTGGAGGCTAGGACGCAAGCGTCCGTAGCCCCCTTTTCAAACTCGGGGCCCACTGCCCGCTCGCTCCGACCCGAATTTGGAGCGAGAAGTGAAATGAAAACTCAATCCGAGATGACCGCCCGCCGCGCGTGCCCCTCTCCCGCGAACGACGTACATAACATATGACTGGACTGGACGCGCCGCCGAACGCATCGCGGCTCAAGGAGGAGGAGGAGGAGCCGCGGCAGTCGGTGCTCCAGGAGGAGGGCTTCCAGCCCGGGACTTTGGACGCCTCCAGCCTGGCTGCCGAGGTCCACCGCGCCTCCGCACGGTACACCGTCCACGACCTGCAGGAGGAACCGGAGCCAGTCCCGGCTGAGGAGGTCCACCGCAGCTCCGAGACGTACATCGTCCACGATTTGCAGGAGCCAGAGCCGGTCCAGCAGCCTCCCAGGGTGAGAGCCCTGCCACCGTCTCCCGCTCAGTCCAAGTCCCGGCCACGCCGACCGCGACTGCCCTGCGTTGTCTGCAGGAGGAGCAGAAGCGCGAGGAGCACCGAAAGGGAGAGGCACGGCGGCACAAGGAGAATAAGGCTCGCACAACGGGCCGGCCGCGCGGCCACGATGCCAGGCCTCTCCCTCCTGAGGGCTTGGCCATGTCCGGCGACCCGACGGGATACGAGGTGGGCTTTGCGCTCGCCTAGCGCTCGCAGCAGCCGAGAGCATCTCGCCGTCAAGGCCCCGCCCCAACCCACTCGTGCGCTCCGCCCGTCTCCCACACGGCCACCACCCGCCACAGGTCCTGCTGCGTGCGGCGGTGTGGGCATGCAGCATACAGCGGACGGCGACCCTGGCTGCGTGTGGCAGCTTGGACGAGCTCTTGTCCCACATGCCCGCGGTGCTGGAGGCGCGCGGCCGGCGGTCTCTGTCGCGGCTGCGCACGCCAAAACGCCTCACCCGGCCGGCCCTTTACAGGAGCGGCGCTCCTGGCCCAAGCGGCAGCTCATCAGCCACGCCGGCGAGGGCGCTCGCCCCCGGCGCCCGCCTTGGCTCGCGGCTTAAGAGCGGCGTGTGATCCCCTTAGGCGTCGCCGATTTGGAGCGCGCGGGGGCGGCGGTGGAGGCGCTGACGCGCCTGAGGCGCGTGGCCGATTATCGCGCATCGCTCGGGCACGTCAACCCGATGGGCGACTTGCTGCTGATAGCGGTCCCGCTGGCGATGCTGCTCGTCACTGCCTTTATCGCCCTCTCCCTCGGCAATGGATGGCTCTCGCAACGCGCGGGGCGGCGGGCCTTCTACTCCTAGAGATAGCACAGCGAGATGTGTGGAATCCGCCGCGAGCGACGGGTCCCCCGCAGCAAAACTGGCCCCAGGTTTTTGGGCTTCGGTTTCGTCGCCAAGCATAGGTTTCATTTTCATAGTCGGCCGTCCTAGGACGTACGTCATTTCCGGTCTCGATTTCGGTTCTCGTGTGTATCTCCGCGCAATGGGAGTTAGCGCGCTCGTTCGCAGAGCGGCGCCTGCTAGCCGAGCGCGAATGCCTGGGTCGCTGAGCTCGCGCCGGTGGCCACGAACTGCGCGCCTCCGTGGCGACGCGTTCCGGCCACGAGCGACGTGCCGATCTGCACTTTGAGCTCGCTGGGCAGCCGCCGAGTGCGAGAGGAATTTAAACGGCCGAGCCGGCCAGGCAGCCAGGCGACTTCCCGCACCGGTCCGCGCACGTGCGGCCGCGCGTGTACGGGGCGTACACGCGCGGCCGCACATGCTCCGCCTCGACGGCCGCCTCGCGCTCGTTCGAGGTCTGCTCCGCCCGAGCAGCGAGCTCTCAGGTGCGGGCTCTCGGGGCGCCGACCAGCTGGTAGGGAGGAAGGTCGAGCGCGACGCCGCGGAGCCAGGGCAGCGCGGCCGGGGCTGGGACCGTGAGCGGCGATCGCGCTCCGAGTCGCCCAGCGACGGCAAGGCAGGACGACGCGCGACGGCCGTTGAGCGGAGGGGGCGAGCAAAAAGAGGCGCCTCCGGGCGCAAACTTCAGAGGGACTCTTATGAGTTATGCTTCGCAACGAAACCAATTCGTGCTATGAGTTTTCACGATCAGTTTGGGTATACCCCCGAGCCCAAAAACCTGGGGCCAGTTTTGCTGCGGGCGAGGAGCGGCGTGTGCCGCGCCGGGGTGTGCTGTGGGGTGTCTGGCTGAGGCTCTGCTGTGCGGGCTAGACGACGTGCAGCCAAAGCGGCCACAGGTTTTTGTACCATTGCGCGCACATGGCAGGCGCACAGCTGCGTGTTGAAACTATTAAGTTGATCGAGAGCACACGCGTGCAAGAAGAGCTGCGCTGCGCCAGTTGGCTGCAGCGCGCGATCACTCCTTCTGCGCGGGCGGCCTCAGCGAGAATGGATTCGGCCACTTGGCGTCCGGCTTCCAGATGAAGAGTATCTGTGAGCAGGCGGGAGCGGCGGTCGGGGTTTGGCTCGCTGAAGCACGCTGTCGGACTGAAGCAATCGGCACCAGCGGCACCCCAAGCACAGCGAGGCCTAGCTGGACGTGCACCGGCTTCATGGCCGACCTCGTGGCTGCCCGGGCGCCTCCGTCGTGCCTGGCCGGGCGCGAAGTGGCGAAGAGGCTTGGGTAGTCGCAGCAAGAATTCCTTGCTGGGGTGTGCCTTCAAAAAACAAAAAAAGCTATTGCCGTGGGACCGAGAGGAAGGCTAGCTCAAAAAGCAAAAGAAATTCTCGACGTGTCCTTTCGATCGATGCTCGCATTCTCTGTGCTCTCACTGCCGACGGTCGCCGCTGCGACGGTGGCCCCGAAGCACTGGGGCGCGCCGCGTTTTTCCGGGAAATCCGTCCTTGTGACCGGCGGCGACTCAGGCATTGGTCTTGCTGCTGTCGAGGCCTTCTACTATGAGTGCGCCCGGGTCATGATGATCGGTCACGATGAGGAGAAGACGCGAGCGGCTGCGGCGAATCTCACAGCGCTGCCGGCGCCGCTCGGCTGCCCGTCGGATAAGCCGGCGCCCGCGCTCAAGTGGCTTGCGATTGACGTCCGAGAGCTGAGCAGCGTTGAGACAGCAGTCGCAAGCACAATGGATGCCTTTGGCTCGCTGGATGTGGCAGTCAATAACGCCGGCTGGCCCACCACGAGCGGCTGGCCTCCACCAGATCGGCGACGACGACTTCCCATCCTACTTCAACCACTCGCTCGAAATGTCGGTCAACGTCAAGGGCACCCTGTTGTGTATGCACGCCCAGATAGCGCTCTGGCTCAAGGCGGCAAGCAAAGGCTCGACGCTCGCAATCGTCAACGTCGCCAGCGTCTGCGGCGAGGCGGCCTTCTGCGGGCCAGCCTACACCACGTCAAAGTGGGGCGAGATTGGCTTCTCCAAGCAGGCGGCATCCCACTATGCTGGGAAGGGGATTCGCGTCAATGTCCTCGCCCCCGGTCCGGTCAATACGCCGATGCTGCGCGGTGGTCTGGCCGAGGACGACCCTCGCTGGCTGGCGAGGAAGTTCATTATCGAGAAGAGCGTGCCGATGGGCCGCATCGCCGAGCCGTGGGAGATGGCGGGGCCGGTGACTTTTCTCTCCAGCGACGCATCCAGCTACGTGACCGGGGTGGTGGTGACTGCCGACGGCGGAATGGTCAACCACTGATGTCCACAAAGGGTGTGGAATCGTCGAGTCGCTAACCTCCCTTGTTACCTGGCGGCTCGCGGACGCGCTTCGGCGCGGCGCACGATTGCGCTCTAATCGCATTCTGTTCATTAATCGCGCCGCGTTTTCACGGTTCTTCTGGTTCTGCTGCATGTTCTGCTGCTTCTCTCTCGTCTCTGTGTGTAGTGACTAGTGTGTGTCTCTCCGTCGGCGTCGCGACGAGTAGTGACTAGTGTGTCTAGTGACGCGGTTTCCGCGCCGTCGACGGCACGCCCGGCCCCCGCGGCTCCTCTCGTGACTCGTGTACACCGCCGCTCAACAGGCCTTGTCAACACGGTTTAGTACCTCCCAAATACAGATTACAGTACGTACAATGCTACACAATACAATCTACACCACCAGGCACCACCAGGCGTGGTATATCACAAAAAGCTCTCTCTCAGTCGCCTGCCTCTCCGTGCCTGTCCGCCGTGGCCGCTCCGCCATCCGGCTGGGGGGCACGCCTCGCCGCAAATAAGCGCAAGCCCTCTCGGAACTCGCTCTCGCCGAGCCCTTGGGGCGTGCGCACTCCGATCACGCCCTGCTGCGTGTCGGCCTCCTTGCAGCGCCCTGTCACCTGCCCCACGTGGTCGCCCCAGTTGCAGTCGTCGAAGAAGAGCATCCGGTCGAACCGCACGCCCGTCGCCTCGCGCAGCAGCGGGAAGTGGGTCGCCCACTTTTGCGGCGACAGCGGGGCCTGCCTCCCAATCATGTTGACGTCGCGCCCGTCCCAGTCGCGCATGAGCAGGCTCCACACGCTCACCCCCGGCAGCACCTCGAGCATGCCAAGCGCGGCGCGCCCCACCCGCTCCGCAAAGCGCGTATTCGCGGACGACGCGAGAGCCACCCGCATGCCGGGGAAGTTGCCGTCGGCGTGCTCCTGCAGCGCGATGAGCGCGCCCCGGTGCAGGCTGATCCGGTCGCCGCCGCTCAGCACGCCAACGACGCCCTCGCCTCGCCCGTTGAGGTCGCCTCGGACCTCGTCGCGTCCCGGCTCCGGCACCTGCACCATCTCAAACATCTCCTTGTCCCACAGGCAGGCGTCCAGGTCGAAGACGCACAGGTCCGGTAGTACGGCCACCGCGGCCATGCGCACCGACCCAGCGCGGGAGGAGCCTCCCGCAGCAGCGGCGGCCTGCTGGGGAGGGGATGGAGCTGCGGCCTGCGGCTCGGCCGACTCCTGACCGGGCGGCGCCGGATTGCACATCGCGTCGAGCAGGCTTATGCCGTCCTCCCTCTCCTCCTCCATCGGCAGACCCTCGTCGGTCGCTGGGCCTCGCTTCTCCGGATCTAGAGCCCGCTCAAAGCGATAGCCAAAGTCGAACGTGGCGCTGGCAGCGGACGCCGCCTGGTGCGGCAGGCACACGATCGCCGGCAGGACGGCACGCCGCGCTGCGGTGGGCCGAAGCGCGAGCGCGGTTGGCAGATGCACGAGCGCAAGCAGTGCCGGGCTGTACAACATCGGGGAGGGTAGCCCCACAGCCGACTCTCGAGGGATCTCGAGTTGCGCTCCCTGCTGCTCGGTGTACGAAGTCCGTTCAAAAAGCACGGCGTTCTCCACACTTTCTTGCTCCCCGCGCGCGCGCACACTTACATTTGCCACACAACGCTCAACGGTGCGGGGGTGCCGGGTGGGGGTGCGCCGCGTCGGCTCCCGGGAGACGCCGCGCGCCCGCTTCCCAAGGTGATCTCTCGAGAGCCGCTCTCCCCCCGCATCTCCCCCTCGCGGCCGCCCCGCCCGGGAACCGCAACCAGGTACTGGCGGACCGGCGCCGAGCACATGGCCCGCACGCCCCCCCCCCCCCCCCCTCTTCTCCGGCCCAACTTCCGGCCCCGGAAGGAATCACAACAAAATTGGCGGGGACGGGACCGGCAGCCTCCCCCGCCGCCGACTGTCTCAAAATGAGATAGGTCGCGGCTCGGTCTCGCACGGAGGACATGTGCTCCAACGGTGCTCTTGCTAAGAGTGCTGCCTCTCACGCGCCGGGCAGCGGGGAGGGGATGAGGAGCCCGAGCCGCTCGGCGGTCCGCCGCGCCTCCTCCAGCGAGATCATCTCCACCAGCTCCCCGTCACGCAGCCGCACCGCCCGCCGCCCGTCCGCCAGCCACCGGACAGCCTCGCCGACGGGGGCATCCTGCATGAAGACGACCGCATCCACGTCGCCGCTGGCGAACCGGAAGACGCCGCGCCCCTCCTTCTTATCCGCCTTCCACTCGCCGTCGTAGACGTCGCCGTTGGCGAGCCGGTAGACGCCGCGCCCCTCCTGCTTACCCGCCTTGAACTCGCCGTCGTAGACGTCGCCATCGGCGAACCGGGCAACGCCGCGCCCCTCCTTCATATTCGCTTTCCACTCGCCCTCGTAGATGTTCCCATTGGCTAACCGATAGACACCGCGTCCTTCCTTCTGACCCGCCTTCCACTCGCCATCGTAGACATCGCCCCAGGCGTACTGCATGACGCCTCGCCCGTCGAACTTGTTCGCCTTGAACTCGCCCTCATAGACGTTGCCGTCGGCGTACCTTCCAACACCGCACCCCTCGGCCTCACCCGCCGCGCTGCGCTCGCCCTGATACTCTCCCGCAACCCCCTCGCCCGAGGCATTCATCGCGCTGCCCACCTTGGCAGCGTAGTCACGGTACAGCTGGACGACCACCGGCTTGTCGCCCTTGCCCGTAAACGTGGCCTCCTGAATCGCTGTGATCACGCGCTCGTTCCGCGGCCCCATCCCCTCGTCGGCGCGGTCCTCCATCTCTGCCACACGGGGCCCCTCGCCGTCGATCTCCATCACCTTGGGCGGCAGCCGCTCTTCCAGCAGCTTGCCCAGTCCTGGGAAGTAGGCGAGGCGCGCGAGCGCCTCGGTGCTCACCGCGCTCTCAAACGTCGTCCACCTGCCAGCGGAGGAGGGGGGCGGGGGGCGGGGGGGGCGGGGGGGGGGGGGGGAATGCATGGGGATGGAATGTGGGGTGGGTGTTTTTTTTTGGCCGGGGGGGGGGGGGGGTAACCAAAAAAAAAAACTTTGGGGGGGGGGTTGGGGAATTTTCCAAGCCCCATCCGGGGGGGGGGGGGGGAAAGGAAAGGTAAAAACTTTTTGGAAGAAGGAAGGGGGGGGGGCCCCCCCCCCCCCCAAAGAAAAAAAGGGGCCCCTTTTTAAAAAAAAAAAAAGGG